CCAGGGTACGTTCCGGTATACCGGACCGTACCCAGGGTACGTTCCGGCAGTACCCTGGGGGACATAGACCCTATGGGCGTTATTATTTGTGGCTGGCTACCTACTGATTCAGCTGTTGGCCCACTATCATTGACAATAATGTCATATCATGTTTATAATCTACTGATATTTTTCTGCCTAAAAGTAAAACTAAAAGGTGGTGGTATGCTTACGCAGCTTAGGTGTAGGTTTTGTTAGGGTTTCACTAGTTATTAGCTAAACTATTACTATTAGCAATTAACTGGATCTACCGATCGTGATTTTCACTCTAACCGATTGTGGCCGTGATCATTGCAGGTTGTGTGTGTGGAAGGTGATGAGGGTTGTAACAGAGATCGATCGACTGTAGTCAGGCAGTACATCAGAGATGTAGGTAACAGTGTCTGTGAAACATTCAAACTGTATCATTAAGGATCATTGCATCTATCTGCCCAGATTTTGCATTTTACTCTCATTTCCCTATATTTGATGTTTCAATTCAGCTCCTTAGTTCTATGATCATCTCCTGTTCTCACGTAATGACATCTACAAGTATCTGTGGCGGCGACTGCTCGTGAAATCAGCTTTTCTCCCGCCGCAGGTGTTCTATCCGGTGTTCAACAGGCATGGCGCCACCGTGGCGGAGGCATGTCCGCTCAACCCACGGCGCGACCTGTTTGCTTTTCACGAATCACAGAAACTCAAGCTGAGCAACAACGAGTGGTCGTGCTTGATGTGCGGAAAGTCGTTCTATTCCGAGCATTATCTCGACCAGCACATGCACAACCGACACACGGACACACAGCAATATGTACGCGCACAGACGGCGCAAGGCCTCAAATTCTACATTACAGGGGACACCTCTTTCCTCTAGCTCTCCTAGTTCAGTGGTCATAATTGACAAATTTCGTGTACATTAGTTACAGGGTCAGTACAGGGGGCCTTATGTTTTACATTGTGTGTTGGCATGTTGGTGGCCAAACGGTAATCATGGCCTGGCTATGACCAGAATTACTGAGCAAGCTTGAAGTATGAATAGCTACAGGTGTAACCTCGTAACCTCGTGAATATTATGAATATTAGTCTGAAAAGTCCAAAGGACTACTGTATATGCTGTATATTTCGTGGTGGTTTAATTTTTGTGAATTTCGCGAACGCGTCCCCGACCGCGAAAATAACAACACGCGAATCATTTGTACCGAATAATTCATAATTCACCGACCGCGAAATTGTCCGTCAAGTCTGAATTCGCGAAAGTATCTACGCGAAAAATATGGCGTATACAGTATATATCGAAGAGGGAGTAATGTAAGAAGCCTGCTACGTGGGTGATGTATGTGTGTGTGTTTGTTTGTGTTTCAGCAAGCGGACTCGGTGTGTCTGGCGGATTACTGTGACGTGATGCGCTGTGACTTGCTCATGCATGCTCAGCTGCCTACAAATGCATTGAAGAGCGGCTGTAGTTCCAACATTCTTGTAGTTATTAGGCAATTAAAATTCACTGTCATCACGCAAATATTAGTAATTTCATTAATCTGTTTTTTATAGATATATATTATCAAGCGCGTATAAAGAAGGAGAGCATACAACGGTGAAATGCTGAAACCATGTTGCAGTATTAGTTGGATTAAGAAATTTTGCCCGTTTTATTTTGACGATTCTTCGCAGGATTATTGATCAGCTGTCCTACCTTGCTAATATAAAACAATCCGCTTGTCCCTACGATGCTCCTACGCTGAGATAATGAGCGGTGAAAAGCTGGTATTTTCGCTGAAAACCGACTCGAGATCACTGTTTACTGCGACCCTCTCTCGCTTTGTGGCCAGTGTGTTGCTTCCGGTTTTTGGCGAAAATACCAGATTTTCACCGCTCATTATCTCAGCGTAGGGGCATCGTAGGGACATGCTGTTTGTTTTATATTAACAAGGTAGGACAGCTGATCAATAATACTGTGAGAATAAAAGAATCGTCAAAATAAAACGGGGAAAGTTTATTAATTCGACTAATACTGCAACATGGTTTCAGCATTTCACCGTTGTACGCTCTCCTTCTTTATACGCTCTTGATATTATACTTTATAGTTATTTACATTATTTGGTGATCAGAGTACGATCTACTGTAGATGCAGATGTTTTACATTCTGTTGTAGACTGACAAAGAGAAATAAGGTCTCGAATGCTCGCAATTAAAATATATACCGTATTTCTCATAACATTCATCATTGATTACCTACATCAGGGCCTTTTATTTCAAATTTTTACTTCTGCACACTCACGTACACACACACACTATGAATGTATTTGGGTAAATTGACAGATAGACAGCCAGACTGACTGACTGACCACAAGCAGACTGGCAGAGAGACAGACTGACTGACTTGTAACCAAATTTCCAACGACAATAACCCAGCAAGTGTACGTGAGCCCAGAGGAGCTATTTGGTCAGGTATTATACATTCTAGGTTTGGACGCATTGCCATAGAGCAATACCTCGCTTCACACAAGTAATGCATTCCAGAAAAACAGCTGAGCTTGTTATGCCTATGCCTAAAAGAAAATGTGTAACATGAAAAAGGTTTTCCCATTGCAGGGCTCTCAAGGGGTAGCTTTAAAAAAAATTTGAGCGTGAGGCGATCGTGATGAGCGTAGGGTGTGAAGGGGCCTTTAGTAAAATTTGCCCGAGCGTGGTGAGCATGGTTGAGAGCATGGCCAATTGGGCCCCAGCCGGGCCCAGCGCCGATACTTCGATCTAATTACGTCGATACTACGATCTAAGTGCGTCTTTACCCCGATCTCATTGCGCTCAACAAGCTTTCATCACGCTCAACACCACGCCCTCATCACGCTTGCACTGCGCTCACTGCGTCTTTATTGCGACCAATCAGATCGCATTGCGTTCGAACGACGCTTGCACTGCGCCTAAGCAACGCTCACCGCGCCTCAACTGCGCGCCAATCACGCTCTAGTCAGCTGCCGACTGCGCTGGCAACGACCATATAAATACCGCGCCGCGTTCTAGACATCATCATTCATTCTGCCGTGCTGTCAAGATTACATCAAGATTATTTACGGGAGAGGCCGTGGAAGGGGGAAAGGCCGAGCAAAGAATCCAAAGAGGTGCAGGAGTCCGTCATCTCCATCAAGTGTTGCCTTGGAATCAGAGCCTAAGCAACCTCAAGCCTCCCAGCCTCAAGAATCCCTGCCTCCAGTGTTGCCTCATCCATAGTGGACACTGAACTGGTGGGGTGGCCAGGGTAGCACCCCAATTTATACCCCAATTTAATACCCCCAATTTATACCCCAAGTTCGCAGGACGTGATCTGAGCGTAACTAACACGTAATGCAAACGCCACAATGGCGTGGTCTGAGAGTGTTGGGCGTAGTACAATCGTAGTACGAATGGGTCGAGCTTGCTAGAGACGCACCATGGTTATAGCGAGAGCGTGGTCAGGTCGCAGAGACATCTCCATGTAACGTGATGTTCTGCACACAATGGGCAACTTCGTCAATATGATCGTTTTGGATGACATTTGTCACGCGTAGTTAGACTTATATTGCTGAACGGCGCATATATCACCGCCAGAGAATGCATAACTGTACAGCCAGCTGTACATGAGCCGGCAAATGCAAAGTCTGCTGAGGCAGTTACAAGTATAACACACAAAGAAACCATCAAACCATGAAGAACACAGGTCAAGAGCGGTATTTCCTTACTGCTTATAAGGCTGGTGAGGTAAATGGAATGAACGGTTACAAATACATCGCAATATATGCTGTTATATGCTAGGACTCTAGATATGCTTTACATTGCACGGTCGTTCAATTGTCAGACATTGCGCGACGACATGCCCCACCAAGAAAATCAGGACACAGAAATAATGCATACGGAAGAATACCCAATACTTCATCATTCACTAACCGCATACTTCAGCACCCGCGAAATGGTCCGTCAAGGCAGACGTGAAGTATCACACAAATATCGTTAATGTTGTATAGAGTTACAGCTAGCTGCAAACAAAACATGAATTACAACGAATGAACACCATTTCTCAGCTTGGTGCAATATGGACTCAATGAACAGAAGGCTATAATGAAATGTTACATATATACGACTCACAGTAACGTTATGATGCTGCTCATGCTGTGTGCAGATAGGCTAGTTCCCATTTCAGTTTGTCTTTCCAGTTGGCTTTCTAGACTGGTACCCGTTCACCACCTTCACTCCGGCAAGTATCCTTCGCTACACTGAAGTTAGTTAGTGTAGCGTGTGGAACTGTCGACCGGGTACGAGTCTAGGTTATAGCCGGCCGAGCCGTCTGCAGGCAAAGTGCTAGCGAAATGCTATGCATAAAGCCTCGTTGCGCCATCTATCACACGCCATATGTACTACACTGATGTGGGGGCCTCAACTAGTCGCTGGCACAAAAAATTTCAACTCCGTTTTTTACAGCAAACCAAGCGCACCGAGTAGCGAACCAAGAATTACGACCATTTCTAGGAAATCTCTAGCTACGTGGGTAGTCAAACCCGTCGTGCAATCGCCAGAACTGCTCAACTCAGCGAACTTCCCGCATACTTGCTATATGTAAACCCGTTGAAATTGCTATTCAATGAGTGCAGCGTTGTTGTGTTAGTCTGCCGCTACGCTGCGTTTTTCGCGCTTCGCGCGTGATCCGGCTGCCGATTGTCTAGCTGTATCGTTGTAACTGCTTCGCTCCTGCTTCATGTAGTCTGTAGTGGGAGCGAAGGGGCAACATAGGTAGAGCTAGGACTGAAGGCTGAAACACACTATGATTTATGCATCTGCTGCTGCATACACACACATATTCAAATAATCGGGGGTTTTCTGGTGTGAGAAATGTGTTGATTAATCAAATCTTACCATTTTTGCCAAAATTTAGTTTTAACTCCAGAATCACACGTAATGAACAATCTAAAAACTGTTAAGCTCGCTAACTTTTAAACTAGTTTGATCTAATTTCCATCAATCAGTGCATGCCTCCGTGTGCTGAAAAATCATTTGCTTACATTGCTTTATATAGCAGCTATTGTAATATTCCACTTTCTGATGAAAACTTTATCTCAATCTGGTACACCACAACTTACCTGAAATGCACTGCATATGCATTCAATAGTAATAATGAGAGCGATTGAGTAAAGCAGTGATCTTACTCACTTGTGCATTGCAGGAAAGTGCTGAAGGAGATCCTGGTCGGTTCTCTGGAGGCAGACGACACGACGGACGCTGTGCAGGAAGCGAAGCTGCTCTCTAAGCTCAACCACCCCGGCATCGTGCGCTTCAAGGACAGCTTCCTTGCCGGAGAGTTCTTCTGCATCGTCACGGAGTATTGTGAGGTGACACACACACACACATACTTTTTGTCATAGTTTGTCATAGTTATGTTATATGTCACGATAGATGGCAGCACTTGTCCGCCAGTCATGCACGTGTGGTTCTGCTGAGTAAACTTACTTGTCACATACTCTACGAGTTCTTTATCTAATTGCATATCCGTAGTACAAAACTACAACATGGTGTCAGAAGTGGGATCAGGAACAACTCGTCAGTAGTATGTAC